GAATATTAAAAAAATTGTAAATTTAATAAATAAAAAAAATATTTGTAATAATTGAATTTTAGAGAATTTTTAATTGAAAAACATTTTAAATAATTGAAATTTCGAAAAATTTTATTAAAATTATTGAAAATAAATTTCGTAAAGACTTTTTAGTTTTAAATTTTTATAAAATCTACAGTTTGTACTAAAAAAAAACCATATGCATTTTGTTTTTAATTTAATAAATTAAGTAATTTTTAATAATTAATTTTATTTTATAAAATAATTGAAAAAAAAATTCAGAAAAATTCGGAAAAAAAATTCCTGACCTTATGTATTATTTTTTTCCAATAACAAAAAAATTTTTTAAATAAATAAATAAATAACAAAACCACTTTGCTTAAACAAAAAAAAAAAATTAAATCCATAACCTTGATTTTCAATTCTTTTATTTTTTTCATTTTCTTAATGTTTTTTTCAAGGTTTGTTCTTTTTAACTGTTGTCATAGAAATAAATTCTTTTGCAAAAAAAAAAAAAAAAAAAAACTCAGTTCTCCCTTAAATTCGAAACAATTCACACTGAATTTGAAAATTAAATTTTATTTAGTAAAATCATAATTTTTACTTTTAGTAAAAATGAAAATATACCTAATTATTTTTCTTCTAATAACAATCAGCGTCGTAGGTAAAAAAAATGAAAACTGGATTGACAATTTTATAAAAACCATCAAAACCAAAGGAAATATTCAAGAAATTGTAATTTTTCTCAATAATTACAAAAACATGGAAACAATTTTTAATAATTCAAAAAATTTTGAAAGAAGATTTACAAACAATTACCATCATGATAAATTAAATTCTACCAAGGATTATGAAAATCCTTACAAATTAAATTTTCCCAAAGTTCATAATAATAATAATAATAAGGAATCAAGAAATTTTACAAGAGATTATCAAAGTATTAATAAAACAACTTTGACTAAGGATTATGGAATGCCTTTGAGTAGCATTGAAACACTGTTGCTGAGGATAATCAACAATTTTCCCAACCAGCTAATCGAGATAAATAAAAAATTAATGAAGAAAGTTGAAAAATTAATTGTGACTCCAACATTTCGTGATCAACAAAATTTGTTGTTTATTTTAATTCATTTTGAAATTAATAACAACGAAAAGGAAAAAAATACTTTGGATGAGGTGAGTGAATTTTTTAATAATCTTTGTCAAAATCGAAGGCGACCAAAATTACTGATTGTTACAAAAAAAATGAAACGGAATTATTATCAGGAAAAATTAGACGATTTATGGAGTAAAGGATTTTTGGATGCCACTTTTTTGGAGGTGGTAAATGCTGCAGATGACAACGGAAATCAAAATCAGAATCAAAATCTGAACCAGAAACAAAATCAGAATCAAAATCGAAATCAAAATCATAACCAGAATCAAAATCAGAACTTTTTGGAGGTAGTAAATGCTAAAGATGACAACGGAAATCAAAATCGGAACCAAAAACAAAATCGGAATCAAAATCAGAAGCAGAATCAGAACCAAAATGAAAATAAAAATGAGAATTTAAAACAGAAAATGGGTCAAAACAGATTTTTCAAAAATCAACAAAAAGAAGTGACAACAATAATAAATTTCAATCCATTTACAAAAATTTTAACGATAAAAAAAAGCGGTGCCTGGTTTCCTGACAAACTTCAAAATCTTTATGGCTACAAAATAAAAATTGGCTTCATTAATCGAGCACCAGAAATTATTATCAATCGCGACAAAATTCCACCTCAAGTATCGGGATTGATGTATCAAAAATTATCTGAATTATCAAATCAAATGAATTTTAAAATTTCCATTTCAAAAATACATAAAAATGGCAAATTTAGTTGCATTAAAAATGAATCCAGTGGTCATGCACGTGCATTACGTTATGGATTAATTCATTTGGCAGCCACTGAATTTGGCCGTTATGCAGAATGTGAAAATAAATTCTATGAATGGAGTAAAGGCATTGGCAATGCAAATATTGTACTGATTGTTCCAATTTTATCAGTAAAATCAAAAACAACGACAATAACATTGAAAAAACTCAATGAAATTTTAATACTCAGCGTTCCATTTTCACTTTGGATTTTGTCAAGAATATTAAAATTTGATGAAAAATTTTGGCATTTTGAATATATTGTACGAATTATGATGGGATTTGTTGTACCAAATGAGCCGTGGAAAAAATGGGAAAAAATATTATTTACAATTATTCTTTGGTTGAGTTTTTTTTTCTCTTCATTTATTTTTATATTATTCACATCGGTTCAAATTAATATTGATGAGAATCGTGAACAATTTGAAAATATCAAAGATGTTTTGGAATCGAATATACCGGTGAAAATTGAGACAATGTATTATTCATTAACGTACGAATTATCGGAAGGTAATGTTCGAAAATTATTGGACAAAGCTGTGCATGATAGGGAAAAATCAAAAAAATGCATCGATTATTTATTGATTTATAAAAATATTACATGTATTGTCAGAGAGGATGTGGCACTAATGGAACTTGGTCTCAAGAAAAATGGTGAAAATGGAAAAATTATTAAGGAACAAATTAAAAATATTGTGAGTAGTACTGTTTTTGCACCGGGTTCACCATTTGCTGAGAGATTTGATAATATAATTCAAAAATTGTATGAATCGGGAATAATTGAAAAATGGCGGGAAAAATATTATTACAATGATTTGATAAAAAGAGGCAATAATTTTGGAACATCTGAGGAATTTAATGATAATGTAATTAAAAGGGTATTTTTATTTTTTGGCTTTGGTTATATTATTGCTGTCATTGTTTTTTTAATTGAATTACTGTCTTTTTATTTGGCAAAAAAAATTCAAAATTGAATCAAAATTCAATTTTATTTTCCAAAAAATTAAAAATTTTAATTTTGAATGTATTTATATAAATTTTTTGGCATTCTAAAATTTTTAATCTAAAAACTTTTTGAAATTTAATTAGATATTTAAAATTTTAATTATCTAAAATCATTTTGGAATTAAAAATTGTATCAAAATTACAAAAAAAAAGAATCATCAACTTTAACAAAATTTCTATAGCAACAATTTCAATTCAAATCACTTGAAATTCAATTATTTTCTTCTCAATTATTACTTTTTTTAAATTTAATTATTTTAAAAATTTTTTGGAAAATTTCTGAAATTTAATTATTTAAAACCATTTTTCAATTAAATATTTTATAACATTCAATAATTGTTTGAAATTAAAAAAAATTAAAAAATTAAAAAATTCTCTTCAAAATTCATTTCCAAAAATTTCAACTTTAATTCATAAAAATTCAATTATTTTTTAATGATTTCTATCATATTCTCAAAAAATTGAATTATCTGAAGCATTCTTGAAATTAAAAATTTTGAAATTGAATTTTTGTCTATAATTTCTAATAAAATTTTTCAGCTACAAAAATTACTGAATATTTCAATTAAAAATCACATGAAATTCAAATTATTTTCAAAAATTACAATTTAAAACATTGTAAAATTTAATTATTTTCAAAAATTTTCAAAAACTTTTTGAAATTTAATTATTTAAAAATTCAATTATCTAAAACTATTTTTCAATTAAAAATTTTATGAAATTCAATAATTGTTTGAAATTTTAAAAAAATTAGCAAATTCAACAAATTCTCTTGAAATTCAATTATTTTTAACGATTTCAAACATCAATTCATCCAAAATTCAATTATTTTTAAAAAAATTTCAAAAATTGAAATATCTGAAGCATTTTTCAATTAAAAAATTTAAAAATTGAATTTTTGTTGGTAATTTAAAAAAAAAATTCTTCATCAAAAGAAATTTTAATTAATTTTTTTTTATCAAAAACACTTGAAATTCAATTATTTCAAACATTTTAATTGTAAATCATTAAAAAAATCAATTACTTTTAAGTTTTAAAGATTTTTTTAAAAATTATTTGATAAAATATTTTCAATTCTATATTATGTAAACTTTAATTATTGTCTGAAATTTAATAAAATCGTTTTAAATTTCAATTACTTTTAAAATTTCTGAAATTTAATTCTATTTAAAAATTCAATTATCTAAATATTTCAATTAAAAGTCACTTTGAGTTAAATTATTATTTTCAAAAATTTCTAATTCAAATCCTTCTAAAATTTAATTTTTACCAAAAAAAATTTTCATTTGAAACTTTTACAAATTTAATTAATTAAAAATTCAATTATCTAAATTTTTCAATTAAATACTTTAAAAAATAAATTTTAAAATTTAATTTTTCATCTGTAATTTTGAAAAAAAAAAAATATTTTTCAAATTCAATTAATTTTTATTTAAATCCTTCTAAAATTTAATTTTTTCCAAAAAAAAATTTTCATTTAAAACTTTTACAAATTTAATTAATTAAAAATTCAATTATCTAAATTTTTCAATTAAATACTTTGAAAAGTAAATTTTGAAATTTAATTTTTTATCTATAATTTCGAAAAAAAAATTGTTTCCAAAATTCAATTAATTTAAGCTCAAAAAAAAATCCTCAGTTATACTGGACCAATGGTGCCAGTTAAGAGTTAAAAAAAATTCTTTAAAATAATTTAAATTAATAATTTTAACATAATCTGAATAATAAAAATTCTCTATTTTCTCTATTAAAAAAAAAAAAAAAAAAAAATTCCCCCAATGCAGATAAATAAACCTTAATAGATTTGTTTTCTTTATGAAACATTTTTAATATTGTATTCCTCTTTTTTGAGGGTTTGATGTTTTTTGTGAAGTTATCTGAATAATAAACATTCTTTATGAAACGTCCTCCTGCTTCTTCAATTTGAACTCGAAAAAATTCTCGAGTCTACTGAACTCATGGTACCATTTGCACTACTAAATAAATAAATTGTTAATAATAAATGGAAATAATAATTGTAAATAATAAATATAAATAAATAAATTTAAAAAAAAAATTTTTTTTTTATATAAAAAAAAAAAAAAAATTGTCCCACCTTGTGCGTTTCCATTATGTTGGGCAGCCTGCGGCATTCCTTGATAAAGAGACGAGAGATGTGGTGAATTTTGATTGTTGGGCGTCCCCGATATTGAATTGGCAGTCGTCGGGGTCGACGTCGTCGATGATGGTGGTTTCTGGGATTGCTGACCAGCAGTCATCCCCGTTATCAAAGTGGTACCACCATTACCGGTACCGTTGCCCGGTTGATGTTGTTGCTGTTGAGGAGTCGGTGGTTTCTGGCTAATTCTCGTCTCACCCATGGGACCTGAATCTCATTAACAAAATTACAAAATTACTTTAGAAAATTTCACATTAATGGACCAAATCATTAAAATAAAATAAAAAAAAATTAATAATTTAATTTTTTTTTACCCTATTACATGACAAAAATTATTTTTAAGACAAATTTTCAAATTAGCAGAATTTCTTTTTATACAAAAATTTTTACTGAACAAAATTTTTAGCTTACAGTATTTTTTGGTTGTTCAGTGAAAATTTTTGTATAAAATGAAATTCTGTCAAATTCTAATTTAAAAATTGTAAATCCCTCTTAAAAATATAATTATTTCTAATCATTCCAAGGCAAATATTATATTAATTAATTTGAAGAAGAAAAAAATTAATTGAAATATTATTAAGTAATTTAAAAAATTAATTTTTCAATTAAAATTGAAAAACGCGATTGATTCAATAAAGATAATAGATAATTAAATTCACGGAGAATTATTAAATGTCTAATAAGAAATTCAGAAAATGAAATCAATATGATTTCAATTAGAAATTATAAATGTATGTGTGTGTGTATAATGAAACAACCATCAATCACGATTTAGGCGACATCTGGTCAATGGGGTCGACAATAATAAGAAGGATGCGATGTCGATAAGAAAGGTAGCGAAGCAAAATAGCTGATATATTTACTGCGCTCATAAAAAGGTTCAAAAACAAATTTTAAACTAAAATGATTCTTCACTAAATTAATTATTTTTTAAATAATTTTAATGAAATACATCACAAATTTAATTATATCAAAATTATTTTTTCAATTAAAATTTTTTATGAAATTTAACAATTGTTTATAATTTAAAAACAAAAAATATCACAATAAAATTGCATTATTTTTTGAAAAATTTCAATTCAAAATAAACTAAAATTCAATTATTACCCGAAATTTTAATTAAAAATCAATTAAAAATCCAATAATTATCAAAAATTTTCAATTTAAAATTTAATTATTTACCAAGTTTTCAATTTAAAATGAAACAAAAATTCAATTATTTTCTAAATTTAAAATCAAAATTAAATTTCATTATTCTTAAAAAAATTAAATTAAAAATTAATTCAATTTTCAATAATTTGAATTTAAAAGCATCTAAAATTTAATTATTTCTAAAATTTTCTATCGAAAAATTTTTTTTTTGATATTTAATAATTTCAATTATAACCCTAAGGAAATTCAATGTATTTTTAACTATTTTAATAATATTCTTTGAAATTTCAACTATCTGAAACCATTTTTCATTTAAAAATGATTTTCAAATTATTGTATTTTGTCCGCATTTTCAAATAAATTTTTAGTGAAATCATCTAAAATTTTAAATGCAAAACACTTAAAGTTTCAATTAATTTCAAAAATTTCAATTTTAAATCTTTGAAAATTCAATTAAATTTAAAAAATTAAAATACATCACAAATTCACTTATATCAAAATTATTTTTTCAATTAAAATTTTTATGAAATTTAACAATTGTTTATAATTTAAAAAAAAATATCACAATAAAATTGCATTATTTTTTGAAAAATTTCAATTCAAAATAAACTAAAATTCAATTATTACCCGAAATTTTAATTAAAAATCAATTAAAAATCCAATAATTATCAAAAATTTTCAATTTAAAATTTAATTATTTACCAAGTTTTCAATTTAAAATGAAACAAAAATTCAATTATTTTCTATCGAAAATTTTTTTTTTGAAATTTAATAATTTCAATTATAACTCTAAGGAAATTCATTGTTTTTTTAACTATTTTAATAATATTCTTTGAAATTTCAACTATCTGAAACCATTTTTCAATTAAAAATGATTTTCAAATTATTGTATTTTGTCCGCATTTTCAAATAAATTTTTAGTGAAATAATCTAAAATTTTAAATGCAAAACACTTAAAGTTTCAATTAATTTCAAAAATTTCAATTTTAAATCTTTGAAAATTCAATTAAATTTAAAAAATTAAAATACATCACAAATTCACTTATATCAAAATTATTTTTTCAATTAAAATTTTTATGAAATTTAACAATTGTTTATAATTTAAAAAAAAATATCACAATAAAATTGCATTATTTTTTGAAAAATTTCAATTCAAAATAAACTAAAATTCAATTATTACCCGAAATTTTAATTAAAAATCAATTAAAAATCCAATAATTATCAAAAATTTTCAATTTAAAATTTAATTATTTACTAAGTTTTCAATTTAAAATGAAACAAAAATTCAATTATTTTCTAAAATTTCTATTCAAAATTTTATTATCCAAATTTTCAATCAAAAATGAACTTAAATTATAGGGCTTCTCATGCCCGTGTATAACTTGAAATAAATAAATAAATAAATTAAATTATTATCCAAAATTTCAATTAAAATTCAATTATTTCCCAAAAATTTTCAATTCAAAATGAACTGAAATTCAATTATTTTCCAAATTTAAAATCAAAATTAAATTTCATTATTCTCAAAAAATTTGAATTCAAAATTAATTGAATTTTCAATAATTTGAACTTAAAAGCATCTAAAATTTAATTATTTCTAAAATTTTCCATCGAAAATTTTTTTTTTTTTTAAATTTAATAATTTCAATTATAACTCTAAGGAAATTCAATTATTTTTAACTATTTTAATAATATTTTTTGAAATTTCAACTATCTGAAACCATTTTTTAATTAAAAATGATTTTTAAATTATTGTATTTTGTCCGCATTTTCAAATAAATTTTTAGGGAAATCATCTAAAATTTTAATTACAAAAAACATTTAAAGTTTCAATTAATTTCAAAAATCTCAATTTTAAATCTTTGAAAATTCAATTAAATTTAAAAAATGTTTTCCAAAAATTGTTTGATAAATTATTTTTAGTTCTGTAAAATTTAATAATTGTTTGAAAATTAACAATATATCTTTTGAAATTTAATTATTTCTAAAAATTTCAACTTTAACCCTTCAAAAAGGATTATTATTAAAAACAAAAAAAATTTCTATTTAAAAATCTGTAAAATATTTTTATTAAAATAAAAAACAAATCCACATTTTTGTTTAGAATATAAATCAACTGAAACGACTTTTTTGTGTCTTTAAGTTGATTCAAGGCCTGTGTTTTTATAATTAATATTTAATATAGGTATTCGTTGGCCCCTGGTACCTTAAAAATCAATTTTTAAAAATTAATTTTTTTCAAATTTACTATCTTGTACGAAATTTCCTGGCGCATCATTTTTCTCATCATACATTTTTTGTATTTGTATACAATTTTTGAATCAATATACAACTTTAAAAAAAATTTCGTTGATAAACGTTGTGTACTTCAGCTTCGTGAATTGAATTTTCGAATTTGGAATTTTAAAGAAACTTATTCTGAAATTTGGAAACATAATTATACAACTTTGGCAAAAATGAGAAAAAGAATATTGTCAAAATTTGACACGTCATAAGATTACTATTCAAAAAAACACGTGAAATCAGAAAAGGCCAACTTCAAGTTAGGACAGAAGGACAGACACCAAGCATTTTATTATTATAAAATTTTTATTTAATACAATTTCAATTTTCTTTTAGCTGAATTTTTAATTTTTTAAAAATTTTGTAAATTGATTTTTCGACTATTATAAAAATTCTCCAATAAAAAAAAAAAAAAAAAAAATCAATTTAATGGAAATTTTTGCAAAAAATATAATTGCAATAAATACAAAAATTTGACTAAAAGAAAATTCTATTTAATAAAATTCTATTTTATAGAATTCTATTGAAATAAAAATTCTCAAACAAATTAATTTTAGACACTATTCATACTTGGAAAAAAATTGAGGATTAGAGAGGATAAAAAATGATTTTATCATAAATATACATATAGTTTCAACGACCACCTTCCATTGGGGAATCGATTGTGAGATAAAGAACTTTTAACCTGTCTGACTGAGTAAACATTTTAACGTCTTAACGTTAACTGACGTCTTATATAATAATTTACAAGAGCTGTCTCTTTTTGAGATAAATCCTGGGACAAAATTTTCAAATGGAAAAATGAAATTCCACGCAAACAAACTAGAAACTTTTGACTATATAGAACTATGTATATATTGTATAAATAAAATAATTCAACTTCCATCAAAATGTTGAAAGTGATTAACCAAACTAATTATTTAGACTATATATAATGTATATAATATGCGGTTGGCGCTCTTTGCAAACTTCTATAATTGCACATAAGAAATATTGATGCTGGCTCACCATTTTCTGGAATTGGTGTGATTGGACTCTCGGGTAACAGGATTCCTTTTTGCACCAATTCCTCTCTTTTTGCGCGAAACGAAATTTTTCTCTCGAGAGCTGAAATAAATAATGGCTAATAAGTATTTTTTTTTTTTTTTGAAAATTCGAGAAAGAAAAATATTTATTTAAAATACTAAAAAAAAAAAAAAACAAAAAAAAACTCTAATATAATTGAGGTGCATTTTTGTTCAATAAAATTCATTAATTAGAATTCTTATTTTTCAAAATTATACCAGAAATATTGATTTTTGAGAAGAATTTTTATTTCTTTAAATTAGTATTTTGCAAGACTAAAACGATTTTCTGTATTATAGAATTTTTCAATAACATAAAAATTCACACCACAGAATGCTAATAGAATGCTAATGTTATTTTGTATCAGAAATAATTTTAAACCAGAAAGAATTTTGTACCAAAAATAAATATTTGTACCAAAAAGAATTTTATATTAAAAATAATTTTGTGTCAAATATTATTTTTTACTGTGAAATAATTTTCAGCCAAAATGAATTTTGTACCAAAAAGAATTTTGTACCAGAATAAACTTTTATATTAGAAATAATTTTTTGTCAATATTATTTTCTACCAAAATAATTTTTTGTACCAAAATAATTATTGTACCAGAATAATATTTGTACTAGGAATTTTTTTTTGTACTAAAAATATTTTTGTACCAGAAATAATTATTTGCTAATGTTATTATGTACCAAAAATATATTGTACTAGAATTTTTTTTGTACCAGAAATCATTTTGTACCAAAAATAATTATATGCCATTATTATTATGTACAAAAATAATTGTTGTACCAGAATAATTTTTATACTAGGAATACTTTTGTACGAAAAATATTTTTGTACCAGAAATAAATTTGTGCCAAAAATTATTTTGTACAAAATTTAATTTTGTAACATAAATATTTTTAAACCAGAAGCAATTATTTTCTAATATTATTTTGTACCAGAAATTATTTTGAACAAGAAAGAATTTTGTAGCCAAAAATAAATTTTTGTACCAGAAAGAATTTTATACTAGTAATAATTTTGTGTCAATATTATTTTGTACTAAAATAATTTTTGTACTATGAATATTTTTGTACCAGAAATAATTGTATTCTAATTTTGTTTTGTACCAGAAATAATTATATGCTAATTTTATTTTGGACCAGAGACAATTTTGTACCAGAATAATTTTTGTACCAGAGTTTTTTTTGGACCAGAAATATTTTTATACTAGAAATAATAATTTTGAACTAGAAAGAATTTTGTACCAAAAATAAATTTTTGTACCAGAAAGAATTTTATACAAGAAATTAATTTTGTGTCAATATTATTTTGTACTAAAATAATTGTTGTACCAGAATAATTTTTGTACTAGGAATATTTTTGTACGAAAAATATTTTTGTACCAGAAATAATTATTTGCTAATGTTTTTTTGTTCCAAAAATATGTTGTACAAGAATTTTTTTGTACCAAAAATAATTCTATGCCAATATTACTTTGTACAAAAATTAATTTTGTACCAGAAATATTTTTAAACCTGAAGTAATTATTTTCTAATATTATTTTGTACCAGAAATAATTTTAAACTAGAAAGAATTTTGTAGGCAAAAATAAATTTTTGTACCAGAAAGAATTTTATACTAGAAATAATTTTGTGTCAATATTATTTTGTACCAAAATAATTTTTGTACCAAAATAATTGTTGTACCAGAATAATTTTTGTACCAAAATAATTTTTGTACTAGGAATATTTTTGTACGAAAAATATTTTTGTACCAGAAATAATTATATGCTAATGTTTTTTTTGTTCCAAAAATATGTTGTACTAGAATTTTTTTGTACCAGAAATAAATTTGTGCCAGAAATAATTTTGTACCAAAAATAATTTAATGCCAATATTATTTTGTACAAAAATAATTTTTGTACCAGAAATATTTTTAAAACTGCAGTAATTGTTTTCCAATATTATTTTGTACCAGAAATAATTTTGAACTGGAATGAATTTTGTACCAAAAATAAATTTTTGTACCAGAAAGAATTTTATACTAGAAATTAATTTTGTGTCAATATTATTTTGTACTAGAATAATTGTTGTACCAAAATAATTTTTGTACTAGGAATACTTTTGTACGAAAAATATTTTTGTACCAGAAATAATTATTTGCTAATGTTTTTTTTTTTGTTCCAAAAATGTGTTGTACAAGAATTTTTTTGTACCAGAAATAAATTTGTGTCAGAAATAATTTTGTACCAAAAATAATTTTGTACCAGAAATAATCATATTCTAATTTTATTTTGTACCAGAAATATTTTTGTACTAGAATTTATTTTTGTACCAGAAATAAAATTTGTGCCAGAAATAATTATTTGTCAATATTATTCTGTTAAATTAAAAAATTCGTTACAAATAGAAATTGAAAAAAAAATGAAATTAAAATTCATTTACAAAAAATTAATAAAAACTTACTTCTTGACGCAGCCTCAAATTTATCCGATTTCTTTTTTCGTTTCCATTTCCATGGTTTAAATAATCTTCCGAGTGCGGAAAATTTACTTTTCCTTTCAATCGGAGGTGTTCTGGCCCCAGAGCCCAAACTATTTGTTCGCAGAGCTGCTCCATTTTGTTTTTTTGCTGCAACAAAAAATAAATTCAAGATTATTATTATTATTATTATTATCATTATTTTTATTGTTATAATTATTATTATTTTTATTACTATTATGATTATTATTTTTATCGAATCAAATTTATATATTTAAAAAAAAAAAATAAAATAAAATCATTGTTTGTTTACATATTTTTAGTGATCAGACAAATATTTACTGTAGGAACATTGTTCAAATATTAATATCAAAAACTCGTGTATATAAATGTATATATATTTATCGTCCGAGGGAAAGTTTTACTATTTAATGATAAGAGCACACTCAATAACAACGAGGAATTCCCTCTTATCGACGGGTTTGTGTGTGAGAGAGAAAGAGAGATACGCTTTACAGGTGCTTGCATTACCCACATACATTTTATCACCGACTGAAGATAGGGCTTCGAATACACTATATATATATATATATTAGAGGGGCTACGCCCCCCTGTTTTAATCATTTTTTTTTTTTAATTTTCCATTGATCTTATTTTTCCAAATGAACCACCTATTTCAAAGAATTATTATTACAAATTCATTGAAATCTAAATAAATATTATTAAAATTAAAATTATTAAATTTTAATTAATAAATTAATTAAATTAATAATAAATAAATAATTAAATCAAATTAAAATCGACATTAAGAAATTATTTTTAAAAATAATTTCAATGAAATTGCCTAAAAACCAATAAATTATATTAAAAATTCTTGAAACGAACATAACCTTTAAATTCAAGTCATTTTTGGCGGGAACACCACCTCCACTTGCGGCTATATTGAAAGTCTTGAAATTAACATAACCTTAAAATTTATGTCATTTTTGGTGGGAAATACAGAGAGAGATGAGGGAAGGGTGAAGGACTTACTGCTTTATTAGGGTCTTAAAACAAACATAACCTCAAAATTTAGGTCAATTTTTGGCGGAGGAGGGGAAATGAGAGGAGGGAGGAGGGACTTGCGGCTATATTCAGAGCCTTAAAACGAACATAACCTAAAAATTTAGGTCATTTCTGGCGGGGGAGGGGAGGGGACTTGCGGCTATATTCAGAGCCTTGAAACGAAAATAATCTCAAAATTTAGGAGGGGGGACTCCCCCCCCTCCTAGGTCAAGAATTCTTGAAACAGCGGCGGCAATATCTTTTTGTAATATAGGAAGATATATATTCACCCTAAAAAAAGTAATTTTCAATCTAGAGGATTCCTCTAAAATAAATGCATATTTTCCTCTTAATTTTGGTATCAAAATTATTATTCTTCATTTAAGAGGATTTTCCTTTTAAATTAAATGTCGACATCCAAACCTCGTAAAATTGTTTTTAATGTCAAAGCCATCAATAAAATAATTATAATTTCAATCAAATAATAAAATCTTTGCAGAAAATACATTTTTAAATTAAAATTAAGTAAAATTATAATAGTTCATTTCAATATAATAATAAAAATTGTTTTTTAATATAACATTAACAATGTCATGTTTTTGGTTAATTATCAACATTTTATATTGATAATTAAAATACAAAAAATAAGTTTTCATTAATCAGTTGTAATGATTAACGAGATTTTCAGCGCAAAAATAATTTTAAAACATGATGATATGTTTAAAAGTTAACATTTTTTATAGGACAGAAAAAAATTTCATATATGAAATTATTTAACGTTTTAAAACTTTTAAAAAAAAAATAAAATAAAAAGATTTAAAAAATTCGAAAGATTCAAAAATGGGGTTATAGTATTTCTATTTACCTGAGTAGTAAAATTTCACAAGAAATATCCAAATTTTTTTAAATCTAAAAATAGCGTTAAAAATATTCATTTAATTTGAATTTAACTATATTTTCTGTATTTTTAATAAAGCAAATCCATTTTTTTGTCCTTTTTCTTGACATTTTACCAGAAATATTAAAACTGAAAGGTTAAAAAACAACTTCACAACTATCATACCCAGGGAAAGGGATCAAACGATTACATTATTTTTTTACGTTTCCTTTTTTTAAATCTTCTAAATTTAAAACGGAAAATCTTAATTAAAGAGGAAAATACAAAAGGAATCCTTTTGTCATTCTTCCATTAAAATGAAGAATAAAAATATTCTACATTTCAATTGAATAATCTTGTTTTAAGAGGAAATATTTAGAGGATATTAGAAGAGGAATTTTCCTCTAAGTATAAGATTACTTTTTTTTGGGTGTTGTAATTTTTTTAAAATCAATTTTTTAAAATTTTTATTAAACGGACTTTTGTAAAAATTAAATTTCTGAAAAAAAAATTTTTTTTTTTTATCAAATTACAGACAATTGAATATTAAAAAAAATTTTTAATTAAATAATTAAAAAATAATTTTAAATAATAATGATAATAAATACCTAATAACACAGCTCCACAAAAAAAAGTGTCATGTACTTTTTATTATTATTTTATTAATTAGATAATAATAATAATAAATAGGGTCAGTTGGGGTAAATGGGGAGAAAATCGCTATTTTTCACAAATTACGTGAGAGGTAATATTTAATAAAAAATAAATAAAAATATATTACTATAATAAAATTATCCCTCATAATATAAAAATTTGTCCCGATATTTCCGTTCCTTTCAAATAAATATAAATTTTCACCTCACTTAATTTAATAAGAAAGAAAATAAAGAAACCTAAATTTGTGTGCGACATGTTGAAAAATAAACGACAAACTGGGAATAACACAATATACTTAATGTTAAAGAAAGGATATAAGAATAAAAGGGGGACAAGAATCTCCTGAAATAGCAATTTTAGAAATTCCCAAGGGAGAAAAAGAGAGTGAGTGAGAGAGAGAGAGAGAGAGAGAGAAAAAAAGATTCAAGGGTCGATATTGAGGTAGGTCAGTGAAAAAGTGCTTCATTTCCAGGGGGAAACGAAAGATTATGTCTTCACTGAGCGTTTTAAGGTTATACCCTTCCTCAACCCAATAAAACAAACTTTAATACTTTTTAATCAATTTTTCAAGGCAGTAAGAAGGAAAAAAATTTTTTTTTTTTTTTATGTAAATTGTAAAATTTCTTTTTTAAATCTTTGTCTTTTTTATAAAAAAAAAAGAAAAAAATTTATTCTTTAAATGATTCTACAACTATGTTACTTTTACCATTATTACAGAAAGATAAACAAATTTAGAAAAAAGGGTACAATTATTACGGAATGACCAAAAAAAAATTTTTTTAAAAACTGTTATAACTTCGAAACAAATTAACGGATCGTTAATGTAACTTAATAATTATGTTCTTTGCTATAGTAGAAAAAATACGAATTTAGGAAAAAAAGGTGTGGAATTATTACGGAATGACCCCCAAAAAAAAAAAAAAAATACATAAAATGATTATAACTTTGAAAAAATTTAATGAATTGTTATGCAACATTTATAATTAGGCTTTTTACTGTGAATTACATCCGTTAGAGCCAAAAAATATAAATTTAGGGACAAAAAGCGTAAAATTAATACGGAATGACCCAAAAAAAAATTCAAAAAACGCTTATAACTTCTAAACAAATTAATGAATTGTTATGAAACTTGGTAATTTTATTCTTTGCTATGAATGATACCCTTTAAAGGAGAAAAAATACTAAATTAGAAAAATAGAATTTAATTATTACGGAATGACCCAAAAAAAAAAACCAAAAAACGCTTAAAACTTCCAAACAAGTTAATAAATCATTAAGAAACTTTAAAATTAGATTCTTTACTGTAAATAACACTCGTTAAAGCCAAAAAATATAAATTTAGGAAAAAAAAGCGCAAAATTAATAAGGAATGACCCCAAAAAAATACAAAAAACGCTTATAACTTCGAAACAATTTAACGGATCGTTATGAAACTTGGTAATTGTGTTTTTTGCTATAAATTGCAGCCTTTAAAGGCGAAAAAAATTCGAATTTAGAAAAAAAAGTTTAAATTTGTTACGGAATGACCCTAAAAAAAATTCAAAAAACGTTTATAACTTGCAAACAAGTTAATGAATCGTTATGAAACTTTACAGTTAGGTTCTTTACTCTAAATGACAATAGTTAAAGCCACAAAATATAAATTTAGGAACAAAAAGCGCAAAATTAATAAGGAATGACCCCAAAAAAATACAAAAAACGCTTATAACTTCTAAACACATTAATGGATTGTTAAGAAACTTGGTAATTTTGTTCTTTACTATGAATGATACCCTTTAAAGTAGAAAAAATATAAATTTAGGGACAAAAAGCGCAAAATTAATACGAAATGACCCCAAAAAAAATCCAAAAACGGTTGTAACTTTTAAATAAATTAACGGATCTTTGAGAAATTTGGTAATTATGTTCTTTGCTATGAATAACACCCCTTAAAGGCGAAAAAATACTAAATTAGAAAAATAGAATTTAATTATTACGGAATGACCCAAAAAAAAAATCCAAAAAACGCTTAAAACTTCCAAACAAGTTAAAAAATCGTTATGAAACTTTACAATTAGGTTCTTTACTGTAAATTACACTCTCTAAAGCCATAAAGTATAAATTTAGTAACAAAAAGCGCAAAATTAATACGGAATGACCCAAAAAAAAATCCAAAAAACGCTTATAACTTCAAAACAGTTTAATGCATTTTTATGAAATTTGAGAATTTTGTTCTTTGCTACGAATGGCACACATTAAAAGGCAATTTCGAGATATTCTCACCTAAAAGTGCAAAAAATTTGTTTTTTAAATCAATATTTTAGGTTATCTTTCAAAATTCATTTGAAATAGTAAAAATAGTACTTTCATATTCTGTGACGTTTCTTGAAAAAAAAAAAAATTATCTGTTGATGTTACACGGCCTTAAATTTTGTCAAAAAAAAACGTCTTTTTTGAACTTTTAGGTTAGAATATACCGAAAACTTGATCTTCTATGTCAATTCTTAATTTAAATTTGGATTTTGCTTTTAATGGCTGTAATTCATAGCAAAAAATATAATTACCAAATTTCATAACGATCCATTAATTTCTT